CACACACGCACACACACAACCAGCCTCACAACAAAAATTTGGCAGAGCGCGTCTGTGCCTCAGACATCTCAAGTAACATCCCCACAGGAATTTAGACGGACGCTACCTGTGTCTCACTCTAACTGTGTACTCGGTACGGTGACATCCAGGTACATAACCAATCGACGGCTGTTAGCGTCCACCTATCCAGCAACTGCAAGTCGCGGCATGCTCCAACTGCCAAGCACTTTGCGGGGGTAGGTTATAATAGGGTTCGCGGTTTTCTCCTTGTTCAGGCGAAAGGACGACAGGTAATGACAGTTGAAGTGGCCTTAGGCTCAGTGATAATCCTCGCTGCCTGGCCAGAAGTTCAGAACAACTTGAAAGCAGGGAGACGACACCACCCACCTTGGTCGGAACAGAGAGAAGCGGAGAGAAGCAGAGAGAACCGGATGTGCTCTCATTCTTAAGGCCCCTTTTAACTTCCTTGTCAGTTACTCTTCGTGCGGCAGACATTGCCATCTCCTCTCTCCTCTCTCCTCTCTCCTCTCTTCTTTCCTTTGTGGCTCCCATTATTTGTCCTGCATTGCGTGAAAGTTACTCTTAATACGCGTAGAGGAAGTGTCAGTTCTTGGCCAGCAACTTCTTCACCCTTTCGAATGTTCGTCATTCCAACCTCCTCTTCACCCATCTTCTTCCCGCCCCTCTTCCTGCTCTCCTCCTTGTTCCTTCACCCCCTCTTCTCCTTTCCCCCTCTTTGTCGTCATGTTTGAACTTCCCAAAACCACGTTCTCCCCAGCCTAACGGGCATTCTTGATTTCTCTTCAAGCCACGATTCGTGGCTCCAGCACCTACCACCAGAATACCAGATGACGAGCTGACTCCCTTCGCAAGTTGCTTTGCGAGTATCATCCTTGCGCACGGGCCAATGCTATCTTCTGTTTATGGTTCCAATTTAAACGGATGTCCCGGAGCTATCTTCCTTGGGCACTTGCTTCAACATGCTGCCCTCTTTCTCGTCATTTTCCTCTGCCCTCTATTTTGGCACCTCCAGCCATTCCAGACGCACATTTACTGTCCTTGAGAACGTTACAGAGAAGGAAGATTAGCATGGCCCCTGCGCAAGGACGACACGCATAAATCGAGAAAACGTTTCTAGTCGGATAAATTTGGGCTCTCCTCTAGTGGCCCGTAAGTTTCCTAAAACTGTGGCTTGTTAACCGGCATGAATGGTTAGGGTCAGATCCCACTAGCCCCTATTGTTCATTTCTGACCGTTGATCTTCGTAATCGAGGGTGAAAAATGAATAATCCAGGGTAGTGGGATCTGACCCTTAGGTCCCTACGTTTCCTAAAATCGTGGCTCGAGACAAGTGTGCGGGGCCACGCTAATCAAAATTTTAATCCCTCTACCTCGCACTACTGTGCCTGATCACTGATTTCACCTGGGTTTCCAGGAACTGCCAAACATCTAGATAATCAATGTGAGACCGGAAGTGCATGCCCACACACTCTATGACCTAGCCATTAGAGCCCTTGCCGTTCCGGCTGCTGACAGTCGGTAGTTCGCAGCCCGTCACGGTTGTGTTCTCCCCCGTGGAAGACATTTTTCGTGACATTTTTCGTCGTCGTTCGTTTTCCCCTGTGGAAGACATTTTTCGTCGTCGTTCGTTTTCCCCTGTGGAAGACATTTTCGTCGTCGTTCGTTATACCGGTCGTTCATTCCCGCTGGTTGGTCGTTGGAAGGCTCCAAAAATGCAGGCACAGGCAGGCAGGGCACTTTAGGGGCTACAGTGGCCGTTTCTTTGGAAATAGTGGACCGGTAGCTGCTCGTGGGACCGCGCAGGGTTGGCGCAGGCCGCGGTCCTTGAGCTGCGGGTTTCAAAAAGGAAAGGGAGCGGGGGCTGGGGCAGAAAGTCCGAAACGACGCCGTGGGGGCCGCAGGTCCTTGAAATTCAAATATGAAACGGCGTGGACCCAGGCCTACAGCCTCATGCCCAGCCCACCCACTTCGGCCCAATCGGCCTAGTCACTGTTCTGGATGATTTTGTCTGAATCTGGAAGCAGTTCTGAGCCAGATTCAGAAACAGTGATGTTCTCTCTCTCTCTCTCTCTCTCTCTCTCTCTCTCTCTCTCTCTCTCTCTCTCTCTCTCTCACACACACACACACACACACACACACACACGCACACGCGCGCGCGCGCGCGCATAGTACACACACACAGGGTCTCCCCCAGCCAAACGAAACAAACTACGGGCTGCGCACCCGTGCCCTCACGGTAAGTCAATGAGACACTCATAGTAAAGCTGTGGGCTTGGAAGAGTAGTATCTGTACGGAGGCTGGAATTAACGGCAGTTGTACAAAGGCAGCCAAGGCGTACTGGGTGGCGTGCACGATGAAGCCCGAAACCTTTACGCGACGGGTGCAAGAATCTGGCGACCGCAGGTTCAGCCAGTAGGCCCGTAGACTCGGCGAACACAGTGGCTGTCTCTCTGGGCCAACACTTGTCACCGGCAGGCTTCACAGATCTCAGAGTCTGATGAGGACGGCCTCAGTCGGAGGCTATGCTCTTGGCGTTCAGCTGCAGAACGAGTTCGTCGAACAAATCTCACGGCTCGGTAGAAATTATACTGCTGGCATTCAGAGCAGGGCCTTCGTGGCCGGTAACTTCGGTAAGGGGCTATCGCGTTCCAGGGAACAACTACAAGAGTGTGGTAAGGAAGGAGGCGATAAAAGGGAGGGAACTCGGTGGTTATGGTGACCAATCCCGGCGCCGCGAAGGACAGGTGATCGTGCGTACTGGGGCTAACCCGGATTTGGGGATTCTGCTCTATGGCCTGCTGGAAATCCCATGCACACACCCCATCGTTCCGTTTTAAACATGGAAAGGCAGGAAGTCCCAACCTCGATTGTCGAGAAAGATGCTTGTTTTCCCAGTATTCTCTGTACTCGGGGTCTCTCAGACAGTCGCGGCCAGTCATCCAGAATGGAAGGCCGATGTCCATCTCTCGGGAGAGAACCTGGGTCCATGTCTTCGCGGGCGTGCGATCTAGTCTAGTGACTGTCGGAGGTAGATCATGCGGACACGTATATACGCGGGGACTTCCTTAGTCGTTCGTTTATACACACTCACAAGATCTGACGAATCCGAGTTATGCATGCATCTATTTTCAATCACCACTGTCATTCACAATTCAGCACGGTGTAGACATCTAATCAAACAACCCATTTCGACAAACGGATACGCAAAAAGGAGAGAAGAAGAGGACCATCCTTCAAGTGCATGCAACCATATAATCCCTGAGCTTACTAATAAGGCATTCACTACAACCATTCATTTGATCGAAGCAATAATAACCTTGTATTCTTGTCTTCCTACAACGGGAAAACGGCGAGGGAGGAAGAGACAAATTCATGCATCATCAGCACACGAAGGAGAGAAAAAGAAAATCCGTGAAAGCCACAAGCAAAAATGGCCAATGCAGGAAGAAAACTTATACAGAGGGTTCGAATAGGACAACAAAAAAAAAAAAAAACATCACTCCAGCACCTCTCTCTCTCTCTCTCTCTCTCTCTCTCTCTCTCTCTCTCTCTCTCTCTCTCTCTCTCTCTCTCTCTCTCTCTCTCTCTCTCTCTCTGTGCGTTCGTGCGATGTGGGCAGTCCGTCGCCTCACCGTGACAGCTATCAACACCACATAGTCACCAACCCGCTTAGTTCGAGTCCGCAAGCCAGGTTCACCCGTGTGCCACAATCCTTCGCGGCCACACGTCAAGCCCGCATACTCTGCACCAACCCATTGGATCCGCCAACTCCCCATCTTGCTCCTACCCGTTAGTCGATCCCCTTGACCACGCTAGCTCCAAAGTTTGATTAGAGAGCGAATTCGTCCCGCTTAAAGAATTTATAGCACTTAGTATCCACGCGAGATAACTGAGATTGCGCTGAAGTGGAAGAGACGAGGAAGTGCCTCCAGCTGCCTGGCTGGGTTGCGGTGTGGGGGTCATAGCCGATCTCCACGCATCGATCTAGTCATGCACTACCTTGGGCAATGAGACAAAGACAAAAGAGGGCGCGCAAGAAAGTCATGAAAGGAAGGATTACAGTTATACCCGCGCCCACCAAGAACTTGAAGAGATTCTAGTTATGCATAAAATTAAGGCGCGGCGGGGCCAAAGCACATGAGAGAATGCAGCCTAGTGCGCGTGAGTAGGGATCATCGTGCAGTTACAGCCAAAAATTACGATGCTCCCCAATCCCTAGCCTAATTAAAGTCCTAATTGCAATAAGAAATTCTGAAAACCTTTGTAAATTCAAAATTCAAAAAGATTCCTCGTGATGCGGTCGCGCCAAAAATTCCCCGCCCAGTTTCGTCAACTAAAAAGAAAGAAAGAGGCTGCATCAACAGTTATTTCCTCGCTCGCTATGGCGCCTCCTACCAACCACCGTTGACCCAGTTTTTTTCCAAAATAATGGGGGAGGGCACTGGTGCAATTGAGTCAGGCCCTTTTTTCCCCAACACCCAAGATATCATTACGCAGAAGATGGTGC